GAAGGGAAAAGTGCAAAGTTTTATGGGGGGCCGGGCAAAACCTCTCTCAAGGAAAAGGATCATGGGGTGAGTATAATACTAAGCACATCTCCTGAGGCACACATCAACCAGATAACCACAAGAAATGGGTGCCTGGCAAACCTGAGAATAGCATTCCAATACCTCAGCAAGGAATCGTTCAAGCTCTGTACACCATGTACATCAGGACCATACCGGAGTATGCAGCCCCGGGTTTTTGGAACCCACACTTGGTCAAGCACATCAAGAAATTAGAGAAAGTGCTAAGGTTTGCAACAAGACTAATTCCAGAGCTAAGGGCACTGGAGGACAGGAGGGTCAGTGGAGATAACAACATACAAAATACTGCGGGAATTGACAAGGTGGACAAAGACAGCAAGTTCCAGAGATGGGACACAGAAACAAGGGGTCACGATTGGAAATTGAAGACTCAGATGAGTCAGAGAGATGTTAGGAAGTATTTCTTAGTCATAGAGTTGTCAGGAAGTGAAATAGTCTGGCAAGCAATGTAGTGGAGGCAGGCACCATATATAGTTTTAAGACGAGGCATGATAAAGCTCATGGAGCAGGGGGGAGGAGGACCTAGTAGTGACAGTAAAGAGGCAGGACCAGGCACTGTGACTTGACCCCTGCAACCACAAATAGGTGAGTAAACACACACACACACAGGTGTTCAGCTTGTCCAGGTCTCTTTGAAGTCCTGATTTAATTCTCCTCATTAACTTCACATCGTCCCTGTTTGCAGACGATGTGAAGTTAATGAGAATTAAATCAGATGAGGATCAGGCAGGACTTAAAAGAGGCCTCGACAGGCTGGACATCTGGTCCAGCAAGTGGCTTCTCAAATTAACCCCGCTAAATGCAAAGTCATGATGATTGGGAAGGGCAAAGAAGACCGCAGGACAGAGTATAGGCTAAGTGGCCAAAGACTGTAAACCTCATTCAAGGAGAAAGAATCTTGGGTGATTATAACACCGAGCACATCTCTGGAAGCACATATCAACCAGATAAGTGCTACAGCATATGGGCACCTGGCAAACCTGAAAAATAGCATTCCGATACCTTAGTAAGGAATTGTTCAAGACATTGTACATCGTGTATGTCAGGCCCATATTCGAGTATGCAGCACCAGTTGGAACCCACACTGGTCAAGCACGTCAAGAAATTGGAAAGTGCAAAGGTTTGCGACAAGATTAGTTCCAGAGCTATGGGGAATGTCCTACGGAGAAAAGTTAAGGGAAAATCGGCCTGACGACACTGGAGGACAGGAGGGTTAGAGGAGACATGATAATGGCATACAAAATACTGCATGGAATAGACAAGGTGGACAGAGACAGGATTTTCATTGAGGGGACACAGAAACAAGGGGTCACCCTTGGAAGTTGAAGACTCAGATGAGTCAAAGGGATGTTAGGAAGTATTTCTTCAATCATAGTCAGGAAGTGGAATAGTCTAGCAAGTGATGTAGTAGAGCAGGATCCATACATAGTTTAAGATGAGGTATGATAAAGCTCATGGAGCAGGGAGAGAGGGGACCTAGTAGCATTCAGTGAAGAGGTGGGCCAGGAGCTGAGTCTCAACCACAATTAGGTGAGTACACACATACACACACAAAAAAAAAAAACACTCAAAACACCACACAAAAACACATAACATGAGCATTTTGATAACCAAAGTAAATATTTTATACAGACACTTGAATTTGTTAGGTATCACTTCCTCTCTAACTGCAACAGATTAATGCCATTACAATCACACAGTTCAAAAACAAAATGGACTGTATAAGCACTAACTTAGAAAATATTTTATTTCACCAGTTAATCTTTTCTAAGCAATATACCTTTATTTTTCTTTATAGTATTAATTTTTTCACTTAAATATACAGGACCTAGGTTAAATTTTATATTTTTGTTTCATAGTGCATCAGTATTTACATAAAGGTCCTTAAGAAATAAGGCCTGAAAATTACTTGTTTGATATATACTATACAATAATATGTATACTTAGAGTACAATTTTGATATAAATGACCTTGGTGTGTGTCTTGTGCAGGGAGGCTATACTCTTCTCTGAAGAATGTGGGCATCCTCTACTATCAAGGTTAATGATAATTAACATGTCTAATTGCAGTGTATTTTTTTTTTTTTTTCAGATTATTTTGCATGTTTACTTCAGTACTATGAAGGAAAATTATTTTTCCTTCACATTCATAATGCCTGCTGTTGCAAACTGCTGCAACTATTAGTTAATTAACACAGCTAAATTAATACTTTCCAGCAGCTAAACATATTAATTGCTACTGCAATTCAATTAATAATATATTTAGAACACTAAACTGTTTGGGGGTCCATACAACACCGGGGGATGAAAGGCAATCAGGTTTGATCTAAGGATGGGGAGGATATATCCTATTCCTTGGATAAAGAACTCCTTACAAGCATCAAGGAACCTCCCTTGAGGGGACTGCAATTCTAATGAAGAAAAAGGGTAAACAAGCAAACTTACTTAAGCAAAATTTTTCAAAATTTTGTTGAAAGTTGTGTACAGTAAATATTTTTAAGAGAAGAAATATCATATAAAATACAAATATAAAGGCCATTTGATTCATCTGTCCTCTTGCATTTATATTTAAGAATGATTTATCTTAATTTTTTATTATTGTCAATAAAGTCATTTAAATAAAAGGTGTTTTATATTGTAATAACAGGTAAGAAGGGCCTTCATTTGACATTTGTCATAATAAATATAAACAAAAGTACTAAACTTATATAGTTAAAAAAAGTATATTTCAAGTAGAACAAGTCTTTAGTAGACCTGTACAGTAGTATCGGTGCGATGTGGATATTTGACAAAAGCTGAGTAATGACTTTTTTTTTTTTAATTCTAGCCATTTTTTCTAACTTTTTCTATATTTATTTCAATACAGTTTGTTATTGTGTACTTTTACACGTGAACAGTCACATCCCAAAATGAATTTCCATTTACCACAACACTTGATGTCCCTGTGTTTCAAAAAGCTTCATGTACATTTCTAGATACAATAAATATCAATGATTGTGTTGTGTTAAATTTACAACTTTTGTACTGTCCCACCCGTTAATGGCCATCCTCTTTATGGGGGCTTCTTGTCGTGGTAAACAGGTTTTTGTCTGAGGAACTGCCTTTTGGTTTTTCCTCAGCCCAACCTTTAATTCCCCCAATCCCCCCTTCCCTATCCCATCCTCCCATCCCCCCTTTTCCCATTCCTTCTTCCCATCCCTCCCTTATCCCCCCCCTGTTTTCGCCTTTGGATTCTCCCCAGGCACTCTAGTTCCTAGATAGGGGAAGGGTCCATGGTCCTTTCCCATTCCCGTTTGAGGCCTTGGTGGGTATAGTTTGCTGTGGAATCTAATCTCCTGCGACGTCCCAGTTCCCTTTGGTCTCTGGGGGTGGCTTTGGGTTGTCTTTTGGGTGATGGGTGCACTCCGGAGGCTGCCTCTCAGATTCCAGGGGGTGGTGGCCGAAGGAGATATACTTTGTGGTGGGTATCCAGCAGCTCCCTTTTGTCCATCGACGTGGCTCGGCAGTTTTTTTTGAGGTTGCTATCCGGATTGCTAGCTTAATGGCATGAAGGGTTTGGGTAGGCATAGGTTCCATGCTGCATCTGCACTACTTTGATGCTAAGGGCCTCTTGGGCATGAAGGGAATTTACAGCCCTTTCATTCCTCCTAGGAGCTATCCCTACACATTCCCCCTTTTTTTTATCCTTTTTTTTTCTAAAAACAAAAAAAGAAAGAGTGATATAACCATGGAGTCCCAAATCCATGAAAAAAAAAAACTCCTCCTGGGCCCCTTTCTGGTACTGCACCTTGTTCCAACCCTACCTCATTAATTTTACCATTCTTCAGACCTTTCTAATGCCTCTCTACCTTCTACTGGTGCCATTTTGTCCCCTGCTCCAGGTACCGAGTTTCCACCTGACTCCTTTGATACATTTGACCTCCACACTTCTTTGGCCATGCTTCCGGCTTCTCCCCTCTATGGGAGGGCTATTTTCAGATTGCCTTCCTATCCCATGACAGACCAACTCCGGTCCCACATCTAAATGCCCAAAACCATTAACTGATGATACTCCTTCATTTACGTCTCACTTTGCCCAGAAAATACTGGCACAACATCATTACCCTTACACGATATGTTTCAAAGCACAGTAGACCCTTGTTTAGCACGAGTTTATTTGGGACGATTGAAGAATTGCGACACATTTTTTGTAACATGTCGTATGATCAATTTAACACGATCACGGGAGGGGAAAAAATTTTGAGCACCCGGTCGCCCTCGTAGGTTATACCATTGAGTCAATGGGGGAGGTCCCAATGCCATCCCCCCGCCACCCACACCCACCCCCACCACACTCCCAGCCTCCAGTTTGGTTCATACATGTACAGGACAGAGGTACTTGGGAACCTAGCTGTGTTTATATACATATTTTCTTAATTTCATTGCCCTTTGTTAAATCTGCCAAGCAATAAAGGCGCCCAGTAAGCACACAAGTTTTGCTGAAAGTGACAAGAAAAGGTTTAAAGCATTCTAGTCTAGGAACTGTGAAGAAAATTGAGGTATTAGACAAGCTTCATGGCCTTAATGAAGCATCGGTTCGTAACAATTAAAAAGAATGAAGCAAATATACGAGCTTGTGTAATGAATAACCCAAGATGTCATCTCATGAAAAGAATGTCACGTAGGTCTCAACAAGTAAATAAAACGGAAAACTTGTTGCTTGAGTGAATTAAACAAAAGACAAAGAAAGGTGTACCACTTAATTTCCTTTAATTAGGAAAAAAACCTTAGTTATTTAAAGCAGTATGTGATAACGAAGGAAAGCTTGAAAAAGTGTGTGTTTAGCACAGGCTGGTTCCACACCTTTAAGTTGCATAATAAGTTACATAATATTAAGTTTTCTGGTGAAAGTGCTTCAGCTGATCATACAGCAGCAAGTAATTTTCCTGCTGAATTGCAGGAAAAATTTTTTTCTGAGGGTGGCTATGAGCCCCATCAAGTGTTTTAATACTGACGAGACAAGTGTTTTTTTGGAAAAATGCCAACACAAACTTATATCAATCAGCAAGAGAAGAGTGCACCAGGCTTCAAGGCAGCAAAGGACTGCTTCACCTTGCTCCTTAGCGGTAATGCATCAGGTGATTTGGAGGTCAAACCAGTCAGCATGGATGACAGAGGAAATATTGACTGGTTTAAGCATCACTTTAATCCTGAAGTCAAGTTTTACCTGCACAGCAAGAACCTTGCATTCAGGGCTCTCTTCATTCTTGATAATTCCCATACTCATCCACAAGCTTTGCTGGATGTGACCCCACATGTAAAAGTTGTATTTTTACCCCCAAATACAACAAATTTAATACAACCAAACTAGTTGCATCAATGGACTCTAACTCCAACTTGGCAGTACCAACCTTCTGGAATAAATTTAACATTGCAGATGAATCAGCTATGCTAGAAGTGCATGGACATTAATTCTTTCACTGGTTCCCCCCTTGCTTGAGAGTCAGTTCAGGAAATTGTTCAGCTGGCAAGGAGATTACCAGGTGATGGTTTTGAATATATGAATGAAGACGATGGTGAATGAGCTCTTAGAAGATGATGAAGATGAAGACAGGAGTCCAGAGGAAATGTTAGCAGAGCTCGATGCACAGATACAAGGGAGGGACATAACAGAAGAAGATGATGAAGAACCTGAAGAAAAACAGTTAACATTGCAGCAGTTATGTGAGCACTTCCATATTATTGGTAAAATTGCAGACTTTTTCACTGAAGAGGACCCTGACAAATCTAGGAGCAGTGCTTTGAAACGGGGTCTTGACCAGCTGATGATGCCTTACCATCAGCTGTATAATGTATTACAGGGTAAAACAGCCCAGAGAAACATTACAAAATTTTATGCACACTCCAACACAACCATCGACTTCAGCACCAGAACCTCTACCATCCACTTCTGTCGACAACCAAACAACCATCCACCTCAGCCCCAGTAGGGCCACACCATCCATATCCACTCTCTCCACAATCATCCACACACACCATTACCCACAATTTAAGGTAAGAAATACTATTATTTCTGTTGCATTTGTAGTCTTAAGCAGTAATATATCACGACAATGAACTACAATTACATGTAAGATCTGTTGGTCTAAAAAAAAGTTGTTTGGCTTTTTGGGGGCTCCCAGGAATGTAACCCTATTTTTCCCATAAGTTCTTCAGTTCATTTAGCACGATTTTTACCTAACATGGCATTTTCAGGAACGTAACTACCGTGCTAAATAAACAGTCTACTGTACACAATGGATTACATTTTTTACTCTGCGACCAACTTCTGCTGACTGTCTTTCTGATCATAGTATCAGCAAAGTGCTCCTACACTATGTTGATTGAGATATATCCTTTCATGCTCTTGAGTGGTGCATGCATCGTCATGGTAGAGAATGCTACCAAAACTCACGATCTTTCTCTCCTTACACCCATAGATGCTATTCCTGTAACAAGTGAAAAACATCATTCTCTCAATTCTTGTAGTGGTACTGTCATTCTACCTCATACCATTGTCCAATGTAATTTCCAGACATGTAGTGATGACATTTTTGAAATAGCTTCAGCTCCAAGACCTCCCAATCCATTTACAAGTTCGAAAGGTGATCCCTACACCACAACAGTGTATTATTATTATTATAATAAAAAAAGAAGCGCTAAGCCACAAGGGCTATACAGTGCTGCAGGGTAGGGAAGGAAGCGAGGGTATTGGGCGGCACAAGGGGGAAGGGATGATCAGTAGGTTACAGAAAACAGCAGGGCAGGGGATAGTGTGGGGGTAGAGGTCAGCAAGAGATTAAGGTAGAAAGGGCTGAAGATATCATCAGAGTTTGTGGAGTAAGTCAGTTATTGTCAAAAAGTCAATGAGAGAGTCCGGATGAAAGGTGGGTCCATCAGCGAGAAGGGAAGGTAAAGAGAGAGCAGTGGAGCGAAGACGACGTTGGAGGTATATTCTGCGTGCTCGTTGATAAAGTGGGCAGTCTAATAGAATGTGGCTGACCAATAATGGAACCTGACAGTTCTCACAGAGAGGAGCAGGGCGCCTCTCCTAATATCCATGAGTAAGACGAGTGTGTAGCAATGTGAAGACGGAAGAAAGTAGTCTCCCAACCTCGACACTGGTGACAAGAAGACGGCCAGTAACCAATACTCGGTTTAATAGACTGAAGTTTGTTACTGAGCAGAGTAGACCAACGTTGTTGCCAACGAGTGTGAAGGTGGGTAGCTATTGCAGCAAAATAGTCCGTAAATGGAACACCTCTATATGAAACTGGTAGGTCATGTACTGCTGCCACGCAGCGTGTTGACCTGTTCAATGCCCTGTACGTCAACATGACCAGGGACCCAACAAAAAACATATATTCTTTATGCTTGGTAAAGATGCGGCGTAGCCAAAGTTGGATATGGAGGACTAAGGGGTGAGGTGTATCAAATTTCTGTATAGCCTGTAAAGCACTAAGGGAGTCTGAGACAACCACAAATGATGACACAGGCATAGATGCAATACAGATAAGTGCTGCAAGAATGGCATACAATTCAGCAGTAAGAATACTAGCCGAAGATAATAAATGCCCTCATACGACGCTGTCTGGAAACACTGCTGCGAATCCTACACCATCAGAAGACTTAGAGCCATCTGTGTACACTACAATGGCATGAGAATGAGAGTGGAAGTGGTCAAGAAAAAGAGAGTGGGAAGCTACCGTAGACAATTGGGCTTTCGAGCAAGGGAGTGAGAAAGAACAGACTCAAACAGCTGGAACTTCCCAGGGGGGTAGGGAAAAGTGAGATGCTACATGAACATTGAAAGGTGGTAATTGAAGAGAAGACAAGGAAGGATTGTGGAGATCATGAGAGCATACATAGTAGTGAAGGCAATGGGCATCACGGCGATCGGATAAGGATGGAACGTTCGCTTCTGCATAGAGGCTCTCAACAGGGGAAGAGCGAAAAGCACGAAGGCATAAACGTAATCCTTGGTGATGAATAGGGTTGAGGCTAGATAGAGTAGCAGGAGAGGCAGCTGAATAGATCTGGTCACCATAATCAAGTTTCGATAAAATGAGGGTGGAATGTAGGTGAAGGAGAGTTCGACGATCAGCTTCCCATGAAAGATGAGCAAGGGTTTTAAGAAGGTTCAGCCGGCTGTGACAAGTTGTCTTTAGAGAGGTAATGTGAGGTTTCCAGGTAGTAGGCTCATGGACTGGGTCCTCCATGGTTAGGTTACTCCTTTTCTTTTTGTTTTAAAGAAAAAAAAAGAAAGAAGAAAAGAAAATAAAAATAAAAAAAAGAATAAAAAAGAGGGGAGCGGGGAGGGATAGTTCCCAGGAGGAATGAAAGGGCCAGAAATCTCCCTCCGCACCCAAGAGGACCTCAGCACCACAAGTAGCACAGATGCAGCATGGAACCCATGCCATACCCTACCCTTCATGCCAGTAAACCAGCAATCCAGGATAGCAACCTCACATCTGCCAAGCTACCATGGTGGACAAAAGAGAGGGCAGCTAGATATCTGTCACAAAGCATACCTCCTTTGGCCACCACCCCCGGAATCTGAAAGGTGGCTTCCAGAAATACACCCGTCGCCCGAAAGACACCCAAAGTCACCCTCTGGGATACCGGAGAGGGATCGGGACATCCCCAGGCGATCCAGATTCCACGGCAAACTATGCCACCACCAAGAACCTCAACCTAGGAACTAGCACGCCTGTGGGAAAAATCCCAAAGGCCAAAAAGAGGAAGGGCAAAAGGAAGGGGTGGGGAGAAGGAGGAGGAAAGGAAAAAGAGGAGGATGGGGAGGGTGGGATAGGGAAGGGGGGGATTGGGGGGTAATTAAGTTCGGTCTGAGGAAGGAGACCAACAGGTCTAATTCCTCAGACCAAGAGCCTTTTCATCATGCCAAGGAGCCCCCGTTGAAGAGGTGAATAGATGAAGAATGGGTATAAATGAAAACCACTGCATTAGTAAAATGCCATAAAGTGAAGCGCTGTAAAGCGGGGCCTGTTTATATTTATTATGCTCCCTTTCTCTTCATAATGAATACAAATATGGCAGAACCTTGGCTTATGAACTTAATCCGTTCTGTGACCTTGTTTGTATCCTGATTTGTTTGTATGCTGAGTCAATTTTCCTCATTTAAATTAACTGAAATGCAATTAATCTGTTCCAGCCTCTCAGGAGGCTTGACAAAATAATGCTAATATCAACTCTAGAGCTTATTTATCTATCACAATTCATACAATATGACATAATAAACAATATTAATAACACAGAAACATGATATATACTCTAGAATGAATAAAATAAGCCATAATATGGCGAGTGATGGCGATGCCGGTAGCATCCTACATTTGCTCTCCCACTCTAGTATCTTTCCAGTCCATAACTCCCACATCTAGCTTGTGTTTATCTATGATTAGTGGTGAGAGTGTCACATATGTAACCAAAGGTGTGGTCAAGACAGATGTATATGTAGGTGAAGACGTGGTGGTGGCAGTCACAATGGTGGCAAGGTGCCTCACTCTCTCTGCTCCTGCTCTCTTCATTTCTGTAGCTTTTTTCATAGTTTCTAATTGCTTCTTGTTGATTTTAAGCATATACTGTCTCTTCAGGCGAGGCATTGTGTAAGAAATTTATACG